TAACAGCTTCGCTAATGCTTTATTCCTTTTACAGTTGCAGGGTTATTCCTAGATTCTAAACCGACATTGCTGAAAATCAGGCTGATTTCTTCTTATCCTTCAGAGAGGCCCAAGGAAGTAATTAAAGGTTTTCAGTTTTCTGGTGACACTTTTATTACTCCAAATGTGTCACCACACAAAAATCATCTGTTGTGGGATTTCGTAAATGCACGAGTCTCGGCACAATTCCAGCGAGAGATTTTATGTGTTTATACAAACTGGTTCTTCTTGGGGGTAAAGAGAGCAACCTGTAATCTGAATGGGAAAGGAGGCATAACTCAGCATTTTTGAATATGTTGTGTTCTGAGTGTCAGCCTGAATATATAAATTATATTTATGTTCCTATGGACATCTCACATCCTAAGGAGACTAAAAGGATTCTCCATCTCACTGAGAGAGAAATTATGTGGACTGGATGGAAATATTCAAGAATCACAGGGAGTCAAGGAAAAAAATGTTCACCATTTCTTTGTATATCATGTGTACGATGTTACTTGAAGTCTGTGGAGATCAATAATGCCTTAAGAAATTGGGAACTTAAATCATTACCCATTGTTACATATTGTGGAGGAAACAACTCTTCTAACAGAGGGTGGCATAGCTTTTAACTTAAAATCATCCAGGAGAAAGGAAGACATGATTTTTCCCAGATCCAGAATCCACAAATTACTGAACAGATATATTTCATTTCCTTTTTCTTTCTCAAGAAAAGGGCCAATGATACCTACAGGTTAAGACTAATGAGGAATCCTACTAGTTGTGCAAAAAACTGCCTAGCCTACCTTTCCTAGCTAGCTTGATGCATATGATATAAGACTGGTTTGAATGATGTAGTGCTTAATTGTAAGATGAGAAAGAAGATGGGGGAAAAAATCAACTCTGTCTATCATGTACAATCCAGCAATGTGTAAATTCCCCAGCAATCAAAAACCAAAAGCCGCTCTTTACATTTCACAGCTCTGACGTGGTAATTGGACTGCAGATAATTCACTCGCACATCTAGACCCCTTTCCCAAAAGGACTCCAGGATCACTGGTTCTGATATACAGTGGATCTGGTTGTTTTGTTGTACAATGGGAAATGCACTCCTGAAATCTAAAAAGGCAAAAAGATTTTTCAAGTGAAGGAAAGTTAAGTTTCTGGGCAGCTTTAGGAGCACCTGTCTTCATTGCTTGATTCAGGAGAGTACATTGATGTAGAACACTGGGCTAAATGTGTAATGCTGAAACTTGATTTTGCTGAGTATGTGCAGATGAGACCAAGTGACAGCCTTCTCAGTTCCACAGGTGTCAAACCTATGTCAAGTTCTTGTTCAAAACACCACCCTTCTGCTTTATGGACATGACAGGAGCAGGGAAGCTGTGGTGTCTGAAAAAGGCAGACGGGCAGGCAGAACAAGTGCAAAAGATTATATTTCGCTCAAAGTTAACAAAATGACTTCCAGAAATTCCCCACAGTCTTAGATAACCATATGCCCTTCCTGTTCTCAAGTAGCTTTCACATCATCATCAAAGGAAAATCTCAGCAATCATGTGGTGCTGGGCCACCAGTGATTCAATCCATGCTGAGATAAACAATGCTGTGTGAGCTGAAGGTAGAAGGATGCTTCTCTTAAATAGCTCAGTTATGGTCACTGAAAGCACTGTGCTTCAGAAGTCACACAGGACCAGTATGTATTCTGTGGTGGGGAACAAGATACGCCAGATACATTCCAGTAAAGAGGTTATTCAAGAGGTTAGTCAGTGTAGGAATAGCAGAAGCCAAGTCTTATGTGCTGTGTGCACACGTACAATGTGTTTGAAGAACTAAGCCCAAGGGAATCATTTGTAATACAGGATATATTTACCTGATTTCAAAGTGGGATGATTATATGAGTTAGCAGAGGCCACATCAGTCAGTGGCAGAATCAGGAAGGTTCCCTATAGCATGTCTTATCTGTGCGGGCATTGTTACCCATAAAATTAAGCGTGAAAATGATGAAGTCAACAAAAATTTTGCATAAGTAAAGATTGCAGGATTTTGTCAAACCTGAAGTCTCACATCCTTTCATTGGCTCCAGAGAATCACACAGAAGCTCCTAAACTTGGTGGTGCAAACCTTCGTGAAGACACTGAAACCTGTTCATTTAGATGATGTTCCATAACTGACACTCATGGGCTATGACAACTAATCTCTAGGAGGCAATGAATGGCTTACCAGAAAATTTGGTTGAAGAAGTATAAGATTTATCTCTACCAACTGGAAGGGCTAAGTACTTAAGGCTATTGCAGAACAGTCCTTTGAGAGCAGAATTTGTGGGCCCCTAGAATTTTCTTCTTCTTAATGACTCTCTGTGCGTCTTGCATGCTATAAAAACCATCCCTTTTTGCATCTCAGCATCTCTATTTCCTTTGATCTGTACACATTTCTCATTGATGCTAATAGAGAATGACACGGATGGGGAATATTTTTGCAACAAGGGGAGCATAGAATTGTTATTCTGGCTAAAGCAAAAGCAATATGACTTAAGCAGAGTTTTTAAAAGGCTTTACTCAAGGCTGTGCAATTGAACATGATATTAGGCTTTCTCTCTCTTTTTTTTTTTTTAATTTTCATTGAGATTATGTCCATATTTTATCCAGGTTATTGTATTCTTGTAAAATTATACTGCAACCCACTCTAGCACGTTAACAAAAGAAATTCTCTAGCTTATTATAAACATCTTTCAAGAAACCAGAAGCACATGTCCTCTGGAAATAATTTTCCTGGTATTTAGATTATTACAAAAAATTTCCCAAAACACTGGAATCATTTTGTAATGTTCCCTTATACTCTAGCTTGTTTCCTTAGGTTTTCTACAATATTCTCCTGGTGCCCCAGTGTCGTACCTTCCTTGGGTTCCACAGGGAAACTGCAGAAGTAGTCCAGGAACTCAGCAATTGGAGTCTGTCTCTGCAGCGGTGATTACCTAGTAACTATGTGCCATCAATGAAAAAAGACCTAGTGCAGACACAGGCTGTGCAATAATTACAGTTGGAAAGAAAAAGGTCTTTTATCCTGCAGAGATTTGGCAGGACGATGATAGTATTTTTTTGCCCCAAAGCAGACTGAAAATTTAACATCTGAGAAATTTTTGAGAATTAAAAAAATGGGGAGGCAAGTATGCTGACAATCAATAAAATGTTTCATTTAGATGAATTTGATACATCTTTTTCTCTGTAATTATTACCATTTTGTATCTTTGTTGAAACTTATTTTACTTCAATTAGTTTAAGTTCCTCACTGACAAATAATTTAAAAGCAGAAAAAAAAAATTTTTTTTCTTTTTTCTAAGAATACTAAAACATAGGGGTTTAACCAACTGTGTTGTAAAGGGAGGCAAGTGGAACAGAATGGGAAACAGCTGTGGGGAGCATCCTGCTCAGCCTCTGAATGTGCCTTATAGACCGACATGGGTTTAATCTACTTTGCCCTTTAAAGTATTGCTAGGTGAGTTTCATTCTTGAAAATCCTTTCGATAATATTTTTTTGATTACTTTTTGACTTAGAATTGACTCTTGTCCATAGATCATGTGTTTTCTGCAGGCTGCGATGTCTCTCCAGGTCCACCCTGAGGTGAAATATGAAAGGGAAAAGAGCAGAGCCAGACTCTAGTCCAACAGCAAGGCATTAAAACCGAGTCTGCTGGCTGCATGCAGGGTGCAGATCCTCAGTCACGCTAGGGAAAACAAAGCTGATTTCATTGTTTGAAAAAGCTTTATTCCTGCTCACCTCCAAAGAGTCTGAACCTTGACCGGGGTTGCGTAGCAGGAAGGGAAGAGCAAACAGCTATTTGTGGCCCATATCTTTGGATTTATTCCAGAAAGAAAAAGCATCTGGAAACAGATCTACTTCAAGTTCAGCATGCGCTGATGTGCTTTATTGACCTGCAGGAAGGGTCTGAGTGCTTTAACTGATGAAAGCTTTTCCTAGGAGGGCTGAAGCCTAACTGATTTCTGATGGACCCACATGCCTGGGCGCAGTGATTAATGCAGTGTGTGTGCAGCAAAGGGTGGCTGTCATCCCCTGATGCTGATGCTAACCCTCATCTGAAAGTGAAGCCATCACAGAGGCGTTTGGGTTATTCACACGGCCTAAATTTAGGCACCCACCTTCACCTAGGTTAGGGAGTTAGTCAGTCTGGGCTCTCTCTATTGCCGGAGAAGGCAGAAAGGATCCCCAAAAGGCAATTCAGATCATCGAGTCTGAATTAGTAGGAGCATGAGGCTCCTACTCTAACTCATCTCTCTTTCTATTGACTATACAGGGAGTCTAGCAGACCACCGTCTTTATACAGGCAGCTGAAGATAGTTGGTATAAAACTCTATGATCCCTGGATGTCTTGTCCAGGTACTGCTTTGTAACTAAAGCAGGGAAACATGTCTCCATCTCTTTGATTTGTCTGGCATATATCTGCAGGGTGTTTTTTTCAAACAGAAACTCACATCCAAGAGAAACTATCATATGAGTTGTTGGTTTTTTCCTTAATATCAGCTGTATACACACATTTTATTCCTGCAACTTCAGTTATTCCTGACTTACACCACTGTAAGGCAGAATCAGGCCCCCCCATTTGTGACTTGAAAAGTCTCAAGAGCAGTGTGACCAGTACAGTTGTGATTCTGTCAGTAACTGGTATTTTTTCTAAGGCAACAGCTGCCAGAAGCATGTGAGAATCAATAGCAGGTTTCATTTAAGAACAGGCTAAATTTGTAGACACTAGGACTGCTAGAAAGCTGGAAAACATAATCCAGTGTAACCTAATGCTAAAAATGAAGAGCCAAGACAATTCATCACTTGAAAAAGTATTACTTATAAAAAAAATTTCTACTTATATGATTTTTAAGCCAATTTATAGTTTCTGAACCTAGAGTTCTGGCATTACAGCAATTGTATTGAAAGAGAAGAATATGGAGAAAATAATGTCATAGAAAATTACTTACCAGCATCAATTTTCTTTGAGGTTTCAAGAGCTTGGGCTTAGGAAAAGTATTGGCTATTGGAGCTACGGAAATAAATATTCAGGGATCATTTCACATTATCATCATTCACTGTCATTTTTAGTATACACATTATCAACTTTTAACTTACAGATTAATAGCAGATTAGGAGCAAATACATATACTTATACCAGAGTTTAACTGTATTTCAGGTAACATATTTCATAATAAAGCATAGGCCTTATGAATTACAAAAATTCGTAAGATTACAGAATCTGATATGGAAAACATGCTGTTTGTGTGCAGAAGCCAGAGCAAATACACCTCTTGAGAACTGATCACTTCTGATCTAACCCACAGTGAACCTTCAGGTCCTTTCCCTCCTCTCTCCCAGTGGCTCACCACTGACAGTAGTGCTCAGAAAGTACACCCACGTGTTTGTGTGATTGACCCTGCACAGAAGAAATCACAAATCCTCTTTGAAAGTGAGGTTGCCCAAGACATTGATCTTTATATGCTCATCTTGCTTGACTTCTCAAGTGCACCAGCAATTTTAAGAGTGTGATGTGCTGGCTTCCCTCAGTCTGTCCCCAACATGAAATTTCATCCTGCCTTACTTAAATATTCTCTTTGAACAAGGTGAATATTTCTACCATGGTTCCTGTCTCTCCTCTGATTACTGGGCACTGAGACCTCTTGCTTGGACTGGGTGACTAGCTTTTCAATAGCTACAGCTGCAGGGAGCTGAGAGCCCTGGTCCCAGCAACAGGCGTGGGCCGTTTCTTCTCCCACTGATGGGAGCGAGCGCAGGTCACGCCACAGGCACAGTCAGTGACAGAGTCCTGATATCCCACATTCTGCTGTTCCTCCACAGTTGTACTCAGGATTTGGAATCCCTCTGCACCCCTGTTTTCATACCTTTTGCTGGGATGGCTGGTGGCTGCTCCACTTTCTCTTTCTCTTTCTTTTTCTTTACCTTCTTGGGCTGTAGAGGGGACATGCTTGTCACACTGGTAACTGTCTCGCCTGAACTGCAAAGAGACCCATATGTGAAGAAAAGTGAAGGCAACAGAGGGAAAGACAGTTTGTCCCAGTGAGTTCATGCAAACATATCACCTTCCACTTGTGAGAGTCCCTGCTCAAAAACTTGTATTTTGACCTGGGGATATACTGAAAAACCTCTCACAGGGGCTGGAAATGCTTTTTCAGCCATACAGCCTGGCTGAGAAACTCAGGAGTATGATCTGTCCTGGCACAGAAAATGCAAAGTGTCAGGTTTAAACAAGACTCTTTTCATAGCACCTATTCCTTAAAAACATGTAGGACCACAGTGCTGCACCCCGGATGAGCTTGTACGCTTCTGTCCTCGGAAACCGGAGGCACAGACAGCTGAGGTGACTTCCATAAGCTCACACGGGAAGCATATGGCAAAGCAAAATCTTCTATGTGATTTCTAGGCTAAGCCTGGCTGAGGGGTGAGCAGGCCAGGAGGGCATGCAGCATGTCTTCAGGCAGCTCACAAGCCCACATTTGAAAAAGCCAGCTTTTTAAAAGAGGCCGGTGTGCTTAGTGCATATAAGTTGGAGAAACTGTGCCCCAGTCTCTAAACTCGGGCATTCTCCAGTACATCATCCGTCCTGAAAAAGCAGTAGTTGGTATGAGGGAAGAGTACAAGCTATATTGGAAACAGACTCCTGTCCAAGAGAGCTTCTGTGTTTGGACTATTACAGTTTAACACCCTCTAAGTCTGGGGGTTTTATCCTTAGCATCTCCCAAAGTCTGAGGTGGTATATCCTGCTTTGAATATTTAGGGCTTGGATACCGCAGTCAGGTTGCAGTGATCGTTATCATGTGTCAGCTGAGCTGTGGTAACTGACTATGCAGGGGCTCCTAGCTTGCGACTAACATGAAATAGAATTGTATTGTCTTAACCAGTAATGAAAGAAATCTTAACTTACAGCTGGGGTGGGGGGAGAGTGTATAGCAGTTAGTTATGATGACTATGGTGGTGGAGGTGACTTGGTAAGCAGTTGTTGCTCAGATGCATCTGACCATGGGCTCACTCTGGGAAAGATCGACGCAGTATGGTTGTGGGGACCTTTCTGTTCTGTGCTGGTGAGTTACACAATGCAATGGGATCCAGCCAGGGTCTCCATAGTCAAATGACAACACGGATTTCACTGAATTTTAAATAATTTGTCCCAAGTTGCTGCTCCTCTCCAGGTTCTTTTGCATAATGAAACGTTCTCTTTATATTAATAGCATAAAATATTCAAAAGGGGCCAAAGTCTTAATGAAAGTTAAGATTTCAGCTATTGCCCACACAAGAATAACAAAATAACAGACATAATCATTTCATACAGCTGTAAATCCAAATGAATATCACTACCATTGGTAAAATCACTCTGGATTTACACGCGTAGATTACAAGAAGCCTCTGGTTTGATGATTTTCCTGACTTCTGTTCCACCTACTCAGTCCAAAACATAGGTTTGCTGCCAAACTTTTTTTTAAGTGTTTAAAAGGTAAAATATTTTCATGATTTATAAATAAATCACATCAGTTATGTAAACTGAGGGTTGCATTAAAATAATTTCAAAGTCTGCCTGCACTATTGTGAACCTATCCCACAACAACCATTTGTTTCTATATTAAAATCAAAACATGAAATGGTTTAAAACCAGCAGGAAATGAAACTGTCCTTCCTGGCTCCATTGCCCAAACACAGCAAACTGTAAAGCACAAAGAACACCAAAAAGGGTACGAGAGTGATTTTGTTAAAGTTTTTGGGTTTAATAATCCAAGGTCATTAAGGCAGATGTGTAGCTTAAAGATACTATTATTCTGATATAGCTACTTTAAGCACAATATATGAAAAGGCTTAGTGTCAATTCATCGCAATAGTTATTATTCCTGCTTTGCCACTGAAAAAGTGAAGCTACAGAGAAATGTATTTATGGCTTACACTTCTCATTTAAATGCCAGGGCCATACAGGGTTAACTAATTCTGGGAGATACAACAACTGTACTTGCTGTCTTATAACTGAGCTCCTCAAACCAAACAAGGCGGCTCAGAAAAGACTCCTTGGCTCCGAAACACTGCCTCTTTGTGAGCTTGTCTTGTTCTATGTCTAAAGAAAAGTTAGTTTTTTATCTCCGGCTCCTCCTCCAGCCTCCTGGCTTCTATTTCAACAGTGTCACATTGTGCATTTCTTGAAGGATCTAATGAGTTTTTAGAGAGCAAGAAAAATACAGCAGTTTGGGGGGAAAAACCTGTGGAAGGTGTCTAACAATCATGGCACCAGGAGAGCAATTTCAGTGGAGATCATGGCTGTCCCAAGAGCTGGCAAACTGCTACAATTTTAACTTTACTATCCTTATTACAGTCAAGGATGTGGGACTTTTTCTGTTGTCATCTAAGTAAGCTATTTCTTCTTGTCAAGGATGACAGAAAATTCACTTGAGTGAACTGGGAGCTGCTTTGATATTTTCCAGATAGGGGAGCTGTGCGAAAAGGTGCCAGGCATGGACTGGGTACTTGGTTCTGGTTCAGTCTGACAGAATTTGCTCCTACGATGTTAGATTGGCACTGTGGAACCAAGGGGTCGAGATGGATAGGTTTCTGAGGTAAACACTTTTTTCACCTCAAATTATTTGTCTGCAGAAGAGCAGTCACTGAAGGACTGGAGAGTTCAGGCCAAAACAAATATACAAAACACGAAAAAAAAAAAATCTTATTTTCAAAGCTCACCTCCTGTGGGCTTCTGGATCTGAAAACTGACAAAATGATCTAATAACAAGGAAGATAATAAGAAGGAGGATATTTAAAGAAAAGAAAACCCCAGAAAATGGAATTAGGTGGTTTGGAAAACCCAAAATAACTGTTCTTTTTATTTAGGTATTTATTTTTAAAATGTGGGAAAGAAATGGTTTTTGGTTAACTCATTTTTTTTTCCTTAATTTGTTCTTGGTCAAGTAGCAAACCAAAACCCAAACATTTGCTTTGTTCTACTCAGGAAATCTGGATTTAATTTGCTTTTCTACCACGGCCATTTTGTGAGACCTGGGGCAAATCACTTAGCCCTTTGTGCTTCAGATTCCAATTAAGTAAAAACACCATTATGATGTCAAGACATGAAATATTTTAAGATGCTTAGGTATTACTGCAGTGGGAATACAGACATTTCTTAGACAACGGACTATTAATGTAATTTTGAAACTAGATTCTGCTCTGAGTTTGAAATATCACTATGGGAGTTGGAGCTAAGTCTCTCTAATCAAGGCTGAATTTTGCACAGCATAGTCATTTTGACTGGCAGGAATCTCATGCAAATTAGTTCATCAGTTTGGCCTAATGGATATTTAGACACTGGTTTTGGGTCTAAATGTGCTGAATTAAGTTACAAGACAAAAAATGCACAGGTGAAGAGAAATGAGTTCAAAGGAATTAATGGTTAGTGTTTTGAGCAGAGGGTGGAAAATAAATGGTACCAAGAGTGAAACATAACAAAAATTATCATACTGGTAACACTTTCCTAGCTATTTAATTTTAAAGCCCTGAAGCCAATGCACTTTAGACATGCATTTGTGGGTTCGGGGCTATCATTAGCATATCTGGTCCCACTGAAATACATTAAACCATATTTTCATTCATATAGCGTCATGCTTTTTTTTTTTTTCCTTCTGGAGACTCCATTTTACAGTGAAGAAATCATATTGGCTTGTTTTCACCCTGCTATTCAGCCAACTAAGTTTAGTGTTTGCAGTGGTATCACTACCACATCATCTATTCCCAGAAAGGCAGATTCTGTAATACAAGTTTTTTTGTCTGACTGCAATGCTCCATTTTTTCAGTCATCTTTTCAATCAGGTCTCATTTTTCTCCTCTTCTTGTGTTCTCTACCAATCTACTTTGATTTCCTCCCCCTTCCCCTTCTTTACTTGTTTTTGTAATTCCAACTTTGTCCCGGCAGCTAATAAAGAAGGGGAAAGAGAAAACATCCAGGGAAAAATGAAAACTGCTGAGCTGTCTTTGTAAATTTTTGGTGTGGTGCAATGGCTGGTCAGGGTCACAGAACAAAGATCTTCCCATGAATAACATGAAAGTTTCAGTTTGTACTGGCCTCTCCTGAACTCTCTGTTACTTTGTTGTGACTTCGCTTACATCCGAGTGTCGGTTAAATTGAATACAGCGATAATCCCATGAGAATGCACTGAAAATTACACTATTGGAGGATCTAGGGTGTGCTATACTTGGTATTGAATCTCATAGTATTTAAAATGATACTATGAGAAATAGTATCTGTGATACCAAGCGATACTGGGTTTAAACTACAAGGCTAGAAACACATGTTTTATGTCACTGAAAACTGGGCAACAGCTGTTCTGTGTTGTTACGAGGCATCCCTCTTTAATCTTTTTTGTTTGTGAAACACTTCTGTCATCTTTTTTTTTACTGCAGTTCCAGCACAATTTATATCTCAGGAAAAATGTACAATGGAAATCAGTTTTATAGCACCACACAGTCAAAAACTTTTGGCAGTTGGTGGTATTTAAAGGGACAGTGATTAATGACTGCAGCAGAAGTAAAATTTTTCCCATCACTTGCAGTCTTCAGCTGGGAATAGACTGTAGGCCTTGAAAATCTGCTTTTGAGCCTGACTCCCTGTTCCTGGGTGAGGGAATCACTGGGTAACATTGGGGTTTGTTCGATGTACATGGATGGTTTAGTCATTACCATCTGGGGAGGTGTTGGGAAACCCTAGAAAGCCACACAGGATGAGAGCAGGCTTCTCCAGAAAGCAATTCAGAGCCTCAAGGAGAGGCTTGTCACTGAAGCACCTGCAGGACCTACAGCTAGATAGCCCAGGTAGATCCCTCTTATCATGCACAGCAGATGTTGGCTTGCAGGCACGTTCATGAGACCCGGGACTCTTTATCCTGCTGTAGGCATTTTGGAAAACATTACTCATCTTCTTCAGCATACATAGCAAAACAAAACCAGAACTGGTACCTTGGGTTATAGTAAAGAGAATTGTAATTTCCTACCTGTTCTGGGGGCATTTCACCAGGTAATGCTTCACTGTTAAAGAAGAAAAAAAAAAAAAAAAGAAAGGAAATGTGGCTTCACACCAACACAATTTATGAGTTACAAATGGGCACTGCAGTTAGACCTGTGTTGCTGAGACTGTGGAGCTGCCAGGTTGTTACAGTGGGAGAGCTGCTAATCGTCACCATACATTATATTGTGTATTAAAGTGTATTCTGACTCAAAGACATAGCTAGGCTTGGGAGAGGGGAATGTCTCAAACAACATCAAAAATCTACTGTGGAAGTGCTGGGCAACACACATTCCAGTGGTCAGCCCAGCCAAAAGACAGCTTGCTAAGGAAAAGTACAGCAGGCCAGTAATTTTACTTTGAAGACTTTTATTTCCCTTGTGGTGCCTCTATTTCCAGAAGCCTGAAATAAACCATTCACCCACAGGAGCCACTGCTATTCCTAATGTAAGCTAGACTGCGGGCTCGGGCATAAAGGGATTGCCTCCTGGGATCAGATCAGAGGTCCAGTCCGGCCACTATCCCATCTCTGACAGCTGTGTGAGTGAGCTGTATAAATCCTTCTGCTTCATATTGCTTTGAATCAGTAGTCCTGAGCAAAGGCAGCTCTCCTCCCCGCAGCCTTTTAGGAGCCAGGGTTATTAAGATGCTCTTTTGTGGCTTAGTGGCTTCTGGGCTCTGCCCAAGCTGTGCCACGTGCTGAGAGTGGAGACATGCAGGCAGGAGGAGAGGCTCTGGCTCTTCTGGTCGACCTTCTGCCAACTTATTTCTCAGACAGGAAAGAGGGTGCATCCCTGGGCCATGATGGGAAGTTGAATACGACATAAACACCCCTCTTCCCTTCATGTTCTGCCTTCTTTAAAAGGCTACAAATACCAGACAACAGTGCACTTACGTGATTATACCCCACTCTACAGGAAAGTTTTCATATTTGTTCTTACCTAAATTCTCCCATTCTAAGGATGCTGCAGAGCCCCTAAGGGGTGCATTTTAGTCCTAAGGAAAGGGGAGCTGAGAGCACTGGGAACTGGGGCTGACGCAGGGGCCATGTCTAAGCCAGCCAAGGCACTGCTTCCACCTATCTGTCCGGCCTTTTGTAGATGTCCAGGTGAGCAGTAGGCCTGACCCTCTGGCAGCAAGGGGATGCTCATGTACCCTGTTGACATGCTTTTCAGCATCTCTAGGTATGTAGTGTTTTGGTTTGCCCTACAGTGAATACTCCAAGCCTTTGAACCAGGGATTGGGAAGAGCAACCACTCCTATAACAAATGGGGACAGGCTTCTACCAAAACCACAGAGGGGCTGCCGGCTGCAGCCATTGCTGCTCCCCACAGCATCCCATAGCTGCTTCCCACAGCATCCCATAGCTGCCCAGTGCTATGGGCCAGCCCCAGCTGCAGTGCCAGTCCAATCAAACCGAGGGAGCTCCTTCGGTGAGGAACTGGGTTCAGTATTACCCTTCTCATGGGAGAGCCCTGAGGTGAGCCAGGATCTGCTCAGATTTCACAGACAGACGCTCCAGAGGGATCATCTCCAGCTTTGCCTACTGCAAATCCCAACCTTTAGTTCAGGTATGAGTTGCTCTTTGTCACAGGCTGGGCTGTTCTTTTTGAGGGCTGGGCAGAGTCTTCCTTCCCTCTTCTCCCCGTGCTTACTTGGGTGGCCGCCTCAGCTCCCTGGGGGGGGCGGGGCGGGGCGGGGCAGGTTAAGTTAAATTAAACTATCCTCCTTGTGGTATTAGGGCTGAGGAACTGGGGGAGGCAGCTGGAGTGGTGGGAGGTTGGAGGGAGCTGTTGGTGTCCCTGTGACAGGGGTGGGGTGGCTGGAGAGGGTCAGGGAGAAGCCCGGATGGAAATCTGCCCAGCACGGTGAGCTAAGGGGATAGTTTTGGCTGTCCTGGGCCCCTGACTTGATCTCAAGGGGAAGAACAGAGCCGGGCTTCTCTTGAAGGACCTCTGAGGAAGATTATGCTGCAACCACCTCACTGAAGGTGGAAGAAGGCTGTGCCTGGACCCGCCTGGAGGTTTGGGGTGATGCAGAGGGAGGATTGCTTTGCTGTTCATCTTTCCTCCCTTCCTCAAGGAAGGACGGGCCTCATGATTTCACTGCAGGCTGTTTTCACGTGAATACTAGGATCTGCCTTGTCAAGCCCAGGACGGAGAGACCGAATGCTGAGGATGGAGAGGAGGTAAGATAACTCTTTTTGAGGAGAGATGCCTTATCCTAACAGTCTGAATGAGAGAGCGCTGCTGATGGCTGACAGGGTGGGAATCTCGTGGTCAGACCCTAACCCCTGGAAGGTGTCTCCGGAGGGTGTAGAAGAGTGTTGAGTGAGGAGGGGGCTGTTTGTGCCCCGTGCCCATGTGGCTAAGTAGAGAACGCCTGTCACAGGGAACTGCTGCTCCCTGGGGCAGAGCTTCAGGGCTGAGCTTGCTGATGTGGCCCAGTGGCCTTGTGGAGAAGAAGCAATGTGAGGCTGGTGGTGGCTACGTCTGACACTGATGCTTCTTCCACCACTGCTTCAGAAATTAATTCCCTGATGTTTTACCGAATGCTGAGCCAGTTATTGCGGCTCTGGAAAATACTCTGATCGAGTGGACCTAGCTGAAAGGCTTGCCTGAAAATCTTATCTGTTGTATACTGGGTGCCTGTCTGCTAAGCTTGATTCTGTTATATTTCCATTGAATCCATAAGTTTAATGCTGCCAGTGTTTACTGGATAATGCTCAAAATCTAAAGAAAAACTTGGTGAAGCCTGCAATTATTCAGATAGTAAGGTAGTGAAGAAAGGATTTAGCAGCTCAGAAGAAATTACTCTTTTTTTTTGTTGTATATACTTATTGTGTATTATTCCTATATTTAACTGGTGTTGGTTCAGTGTAAAGAGACCTTTTGCCCAAGCTGCTTGTATGCTTACACCAGCGTAAATCACCAAAACCAGAAGCAAAATCTAGCCCAATGTCTGCTAAAGAAAAAACGGGATACATCAGTGTGTGTAGTGCTTGTGGCTTCAGGGTGACTCACCATGACCAACATACTTAAGTGTGGGTACTTCCTTGGCACAAAACCTTTGTCATCACTTAACAGGGTAGGAAGAATAACATTGATCTTGCTCCTTCCTCTTGGCAAGCAGAGTTGCTGGGCCCAGTTAGAATCAGAGTTAGACTACTGAGCACACTACCAGGAATAGGGAGCCACAGCATGAAATGTGTTTGCGGTCAGGCAAGGGCTTCTGTATACATCTATTTTTGGTTTACATGTCTTCTCCCTTGTGTATCTGAGTCACTCATTCCTTCGTGGTATGTGTACAGTGCTGAAGAGGCAGCAAAGTCACGATTGTCTCCTGTCATTAACAGGACAAATCACTAAGCAAATGCTTTTTGAAAGCTTCTGCTTAGAGATGATTCTTTCTGTCTCCTCTAACATGGAGGCTGCTAAGCATGCTGGTATCTCATCCTTACAGCTTGTGTGAGGTCTCCAAATAAACCACTCTTAAACCAAAATGAAAGTAGAGCCCGTGCTGGTATTCCACAGATCTAAAATAGCACTTTTGATTACAATAGGGCTGCTTTCATTCAGATGTAGTCTCTTTGAGAAACCCGCTCCGAGGAACAGAAGAATGAAACTGTAATCCTTGATCTTGAAAGATTAGTGTGAAAAGGCAGATCTGAATGATGAAATGATGCTTTTGTTTCAAAGAACACTACAAATGAGAGAGTGCTAATAACAACCCCCATATTCCCAAGAATATTGACAGCTAGTCAGGAAGGGAGAAGAAAACAGAACAGAGTAAGGCTGCTTTGAAACCCCTCTAAACATCTGCAGAAATGGTACTTATGAAAAACATTAGCTAGATCTGATCAGAATGCAATTTAATGCTAGAGCACTTGATCTTCTTTGAAAGAAGTTCCAATAACCTTCAATTTATGTTCATGCAAAGCAAAGTTCTGTCTCCCCCCTCTCCCTCTTTGGCAAGGGCCTTGCAAAATGACATTTCACTCACCTGTGGATCTCCTCTTGTTCAGAAGTGACTGACAGAGAATGACAAGTGTAAAAAGGAGGACGCTGATGATTCCTATTGAACACACAAACACTGCATACACATACAGATCTGAAAGCCAAGCATAGATAATGGTCAGTGTTGCAGCTGCATGCTTCATGCTTACAGGATAGAAACAAGATGCATCTACAAGATCTAAATAGACCCTAGTCCAAAAGATTTAGGGTAATCGTTCAGAAGTACTTTAACCCTCTTGAAAATTTCATGTAGTATCCTGCTCAGTTTAAAATTTGGTTTAAGTCTCCATAAATGCAAATAGGTATAACTACACCTAAGAAGGGGCTTACTTTCAGGAGCGAGGAAAGGGCTGGTTTGGTTTTTTTTCTTTTCTTTCCTTTTTTTTTTTGGTGGGGCAAGTGGAGGAATAAAAAAAAGTACTTCAGTTGGATTATTTCCCAGTTCAAACAGCTGTACTTTTTTTATTTAAAAAAAAAAAAAAAGCCACACAAAGACAACAACAAATAAAATCACCAAGAAAAGTAGGGGGGCTGAATGGTTGAGGAAGGGGGAAGAAAGTCTGCGATTGCTTCTTCTGCTGGCAGCACTGGCTTCAAATTTTTGTAAAATTTTTTTTTTATTTTTCAATCTACAGCCTCAGTCTCCCTTCATGACCCTCATTCAGGTGCCATAACGCATTTCCAGTGGAGGTGACAGGAGTTGTACCGTGGCAGATCAAGGTGGAGCACTTTGTTCAGAAGTAGAAATATTTAATAACTTATTTCTGCTTTTATTAGAACTCTAAATAGAGTACTTTAAGGATGCTCTACCCATTATTGTCTTGAAATGTCCTTGGGGAGGTATATTGGCTTCTTTCCTGCTTCACAGAGAGGAAACTAAGCCTCAGAGGTCAAGCGTTCTTGCAGAAAATAGCGTTGCTGGAACAAGACCCCTGACCTGCAGTTCTGTGCCTCATTCCCCTTACTCAGTACAACAATATAGTTTGTAAATTGTGGTTTAAACAGCAAGGCTCCCCACAGAATCAAGGCTATCCTGCAAGCGAGCACTCCTGCCTGGCAGGCAGCACAGCGGCTGCAAATGCCGTGCTGGCACTTCACTGGTGCTCCGGATTGGGGCAGCAGGAGGAGGAGGGAATCCCAGCTGCGTGCAAATTCTGGATTTCCGTCTCCTGGAACAGTTGTCCTCTCATCTACACAGAAAATACTACTTGCCTTGAAACTCAAGGGAGCTTTAAGCTGTTCTTGCAGTGCAGACCATGTTTGGTGAGCAGTTTCTATGGCTACTGGGAGTGTAGAGTGCTTGGTTACCTGTTCAGACATGCTCATCACCTTCCTGGATAAGGGTCTGCACTTGCACTGCATGATTGGCCAGGCATGGGTTTTTTTCCCATTGACCGTAACAAATATATGAGAGTTGGACCCTTCCATTCTCTTTTCTCCAGCACCCCTTCTACTCTGTAGGACAGTTTTTCAGGGAAAGCTTGAGTTCGCACAGGAACTAGTCCTGATTGGGACACTTGAATTGTCCTGTAGCATAAACTAACATCTCGTATGGAATCAGTAGCGGTCAGATGCATCTTTACCTTCAAAAAACTTCCAAGCTTCATGGTTTTTCTTGAAACTGGGATCATCAGAAGATTTTGATGAAATCACTGGGGGAACAAAAAAAAATCAACAAAACAAAGACGACATGACAAGAACTGAAAATGTGTGGCATAACAAGTTGGGACCTCTTGAATGTAGTTCTGCTGTAGACTTCAGTGCACCAAGATCTTGCTTTATCTCACAGGATAATTACCTTTCAATGAAACACTTCAGTTATAAAACAGAATTATAAAAATATCTTCCAGCGAATCTCATCTACCTTTGCACCCCCCATGAGTGCCATATGGCTTGAGACTGACTCCCTGTTGTCATCTTATGCTGGGAAGATGCAATGTGTGGCTCTTCAACTGAAAGTTAAATGCAGTGAAGAACAGCAAGAGAACACCCTTTAGAACAGCCTAGGCCTTAGAATAAGGTGGCCGTGTGCTCGTAAGTCCTGTAATGGTTTTGTGGGGAGTATCCTAGGGAAAAAACTGCCAATAATGCTATATGTAGCTGGTTAGATTCCAACTCTGTTCTCAGTTACCCAGAACTCATACCTCTAGGCTTGCAATCTGTGTTTCTGTCCTAAAACAGGCTACTTTTTAGAGAGGAGATGAACAACTTTTGCTCAAGAGAATGAGAATTTATTTTCCCTTGTAGTTATGTATTAAGAAGGATTTTTAACATGGTGGTCTACTTCTAAGTCTTAGAGGTTAAGGGAGAAAAAATGATTGGAAGAGCAGTAGCTTTACTGAAGGATGCAGCTCTGAAGGCTTCTTGAGAATGACTTGGAGCCAGCCACATTAGGCAGAGCTTTTGTAAAACGCAGGGAAGCTGTTCCAGCAATGCTTGACACTGAAGTAATCTCTGCCAACACGACAGCATTTCCCCAGCTTCAGGACTGACTCTATAGGCTCCTGATTTTGTCCTACATGCCTTCCTTCCAAAAGTCTTGTAGATGTCTGTTGGCAGGTTGAACTGCCCTGTAATTCCTACAACAGCACCCAAATAACACACTGAGAGACCCCAAGTGAGAGCACTGCTCATGAGTTCTTTTTCTTCTTATTGCCCCCCAAATTGGCTTCTATGCCATGCCTTTTAAATATACATGGATATGATACCTGCTTATCTGAAAAAAAAACCCAAAAAACAAACAAACAAAAAACCCAACCCAACAACCCAACCCACCCATGCATGTATGGGCTTTCTGAAGTCCATTTCTGTCTAAATGCTTCAGAAATTGCATATCTGAGCTGGAAAGAAGAACGCATCTACTTACCCTCAGTGTCCTTGGCTTAGACGTAGGAACAGACTAGGCTGAACATCTTAATTAATGTAAACAGCTCTGTCACTGCTGTAGTAATGGCCATTGACTGTTGAGTGCAGAACAGTGTAAGTCCTCAGCTGGCGTAATTCCCCTGCCTATGGGTGGGAGTTTTTTCCTCAGAAGAAAGACTGCATGACCACAAGTTGTACCAGCTCACCTTTGTAGTCTCGAAAAAGGGCTGACTAAATCACTATGCTCTAACTCAATTAAGAGGGGAAAATAGCTGCAGATTTTGCATGGAATTGTCCTCTCTATTTCAGAAGGAGGAGTGGACTACAGCTCTGGGCAAATTGATGAATGTCAATATCACAACAGCTGTACGACCTAGCACTAGAATCCAAATGCTCTGACTGCTGGATTGCTATTCAAAAGCCTCTCTGCTCTCCTCAGCCAAAATATTTATGTGTACTGACATTTATTTGATGACATCAGATTAGATGATTTCACTTATGTTAATCCATGATTTTTTCCTGGGAGCAATGGAACAGGAGTTTGGTGATGTCCTCCAGATTGCCAACAAGGTCTGAACGTCCAAGAGAGGTTCATGTGGCAAATCATTAAAGAACAAGTATCTTGCTGGAAAGGGAATTCATTAAGGTGTGCCCTGTAGGGATGTGAGGTGTGGGGCTAACTCAATGGATACGAATCTACTTTCAGGACTAATGTAATCTCTTGTTTGGTTGTGATGAATCATGTGATGCTCATCCTGAATATTTTAACGAATCTGCTCATTTGTTACATGAAAGCATCACACGTGTAGATTTTTTGCAAGTATTTTAGAATACCTTCCCTGGAAAAAAAAAAAAGGGCTTTTGTTCTTTGGGGAGGGGGGAAGAATAATCTTGCATTCCTGTATCTTGTAAAATTTTACTGTTAGAAAATGCCATATGTGACATATTTAATAGAACTCAGACTCTGTTCTATGGGAAACTGGCACATAAACTTCTCAAAAAGACAGATTGTTGTGATCTTCACTTGTTTGTGTTGTCCGTGCCAGTCAGACTGCCTAATTTTCTATGTTTGTCCTCCTACATGTAGTCTCTTCTCTCGGATTGTAAACCATTGGGAATATGTAATCCTTTTCGTATGAGATGTGCAGTACCCTGGATAGTGGGCTTGAGGGATTACCCAACTGTAAATCATGGTTTGGAGGAGCTGCATATTGTTCTGAGAAGACTATTCACTACTTTGAATTTTCTGATAGGAAGGCAGTAGGAGGACCATCTTTCTGGTGTCTTTTTTTTTTTTTTCCTCAAATAAACTGTTTTCTGGTGTATTCTGTACTAAAATGAAGATCACTAACTTGGTTTTAGGCTAACATTGACCCCACACGAGCCCAGGAAAAGAACAGATGCCTTTGATAAGAAGATGGGGAATGGGGAAAAGGTTCACCTTAGCTTAGAGGGAAGATGTTGCATGGCTGGGATAGGAGACATGTCTTGGTAACATCAGGACATGGATTTCTCTTGGTTTTACTACCAAGATTTAATAGCAGCCTTTTAATAAATCTTATTTGATGTCTTGTATTCACTACACCTAAAGGGGCAAACTGCAATGGTCCCAGTTTCAGCTGGGCCTTCTGAAAACAGTACAAAGTTGCTGTAGTTGGCGCATGAGTCCAGAACAGAAGACTGTGAGGACTCTATCCCCACCAGATGAGGTTCCTTTTCTGAAGAAATTTATCCTGTCCCTAAAAGAGAAGCCAGATATGTAGCTAAATGTTTAACTGCCATCATTACACATTAAGGAACTGTAGTCTGCAACTCAATTGTTTTTCCACAACTCCAGTGTGTTTATCTGTATAAATTTATGTGTTGCAAGAAAATGCATTTGCAACTTCTTAGTGGCCTACAAAAATTCACACCTGCAAACTTGCTAGCAAATAACAAAATCTGAATATAAGTTAATAGCCATAGATACTGCAGACCCAGCTGTAATCTGGTAGAGTCTTTTGCTTTGAATAGCTACCACAGCCTGGTGGCTGACAAAGGCTATGTACTGAACTGCCGGAGGTTTTTTCTGCTTCAAGAGCAAGTCAGATTTTGAAGAAGCAGAATGATCCTTTTTCCGCTCCCCCTGGAAATTTCTGTCTTACACAGTGACCTCCTCTTCCTGAGTGAACAAAAAAAGGGACCTAAATGCTATTTCTGCATCCGCTTGATGTGCAAGGTTGTAAGAAATTTTGCCTGGTGCTTTAGCAAAAAGATACTATTTTGAATTTGGGCGTAACTGCAGACACATTAACTGGAACAAAATGTTAGACAAGACAGCAACTGTGATTTATTTGAATACTGTTACCTTATTTGATAAAGCACATGCAGTACAATCTAAGTATCCAAATGCTTCAAGCAATTTGCATTGCTCCTTTTGTTGCATCCTGGATCTAACTGTAATATAAGTAAATCCCTTTGCAATAAAAAGTGTAACTGATCATAATATAAAATACAAAATGTGTTTGGAAGAAAATTTCCTTGAAAAGCCCAAGTGTTACCATTGGGGAAACCGGAGACTTTATCACTGCTCTGAAAAGAGTTTCCTTCCCTCCTGTGTATAGTAAGTCCTGTACGCTCACAGCGCATTAACCAAATGCTAGCTAAGGCGGTCCTTTGTTTCCAGTAAAGAGGCTTTTAGCAGTAAAACAGTTGCTATGGCATTTAAAGATATGCCATTTTTCAGATGTCTTTTAGTATCTTTAATCTGGTTTAGAATTAGAACAAATACTCTTTCGAGGGGGCGGGATAGTGGTGGTGTCTGCCTCAGATTCCCACAGGGCATCCCGTGGATGTGTTTAGTCTGCAGGTGGGACTGCCTTCCTCCCTTGGCTCGGGCTTCCTGCTCTGCTTTGGGTTACCTTTGAAGCAGAAAGAAGCAATACAGCTGACCAGACAGTGGGAGAGTCATGAGTCTGGGGGGGGGGGGGGGGGGAGAATAGTACTTAAGGGCTGGACTAAAAAGTTACAGTATTCCTTCTTTGCAATAACTAAATTGATCTGAACCCCCCACTTTAGCTGGGAAGAGCAATGAGAAGTTTCTGTGTTATAGTTAGCAATAGCCTGAGCAGCTACGGAAGATGCAGAGTGGCTTTTTGTGAGGAAGGGTATGACAGGTGGTCTGACAATATTTTATATTGCTTTTTCTTCTGCAGCCATCTACCTGGAACATGTCGTTCCCTTTCCAAGCACTCCTGACAAATCCATATGCTTCACTACAGGCATTTATTTAAGAAATTCCATCATTCAGAGAATAAGAAAATACTCTTTAAAATGCTGACCTGCCCTATGAAATGACATTACCACAGGAAATTCCTAAACGGGATTCTCCATCTGATTTTCTCTCTTTTTTTTTCTTGTTCTCTTATTTTCCCTGCAAGCCTGCTACTTGTTCTGCACTCCTTGGGACATCTATTGGTCTATTTTGCAAGTCCTTCATGCAAGAAACACATTACTTGTTATCCACTCTATCTTTCAGTGTACTACTCTTGGAGACAGCTACCTAGTTTTGTGCAGAAGATTTGAGGGGACTGGTCAGCATAATGTAAACCCCCAGCTGAAACGGTACTTTCCTCCATCACTGCTTCTCTCTGGCCCTCTCTAGCTCCCATCCCTCAAGTTGTCCTCAGAATTTCTTCCCCAAAGCACTGGAAAAAGGTGTGGTCTATCCTCTGAGAGACTACGGATTGCATGGTGGCCTCCTAGCCCTGCTTGTAGGCCTGCAAGCTTCAGCCCTGGCCATCCATTTGAGGTGCTGGTGGGAGTAACAACACCCGGTAGTTACTTTCAGCCTCTCCTCCTCTTCTCCGCCAGCACGGCATTTGAACACTTGTGCTTTGTAGGCTGAGATGAGAGCCTTGACTTCCCTTCCCCACACCACTCGCCAGCTTTGCCCCTTCTCAAAGTTGAGAGGCTGAAGCAGTTGGGGTGAGCAGTCCTCCTGCTTCCCAGTTCCTTCTTGACTGTGGCTGAACCTCTGCTTTTAGCCAAATCTAGAGGGATGAAGGAGGAAGAGATAGGGAGAGGAGGAGGAGAGCCAGTTCCCAGCCAAGCGCAGGAACAGCAGGGAAGAACGACTGCTGAGCATGGAGCAAGTTAATGCCTGAAATCTGTAGGGCTAAATCATGCATGCAATAAAGTTTCATTTCATATCCTCGTGTGGTTACAAAACTAACCACTGTGTCTTGGCTCCAGCCACCCAACATGGGGTCAGTGCTTGTAAAACTTAATGCCCTCCAGAGATGAAGATGGCTGAATTCAGATGTGGGCGCTAGTGTTTTTACTCCTTCCCATTCAAAAACAAAAGAGTGAAAACAGCAATAAAAACCAAACAAGAAAGTGTTCTTTGAGCTGTGAAGCTAATGAATTCTGTGTCAGATAGCCTAATGGGTCCCCTCTCCACAACAAACTCAGTACTGGCCGCCTCCTCCTGTGGTATGTCTAGGAGACCCAGTTACTGACTGTGATGTGGAGGGTCACTGGGCACATGCCAGCTCAAGGACAATAATTACCTTTTTTGTTCTTACAGTTTTCTTTCAGTGAGGAAATTCATGCAGACCTTCTCTCCCTCTCCCCAGCCAGTTTCACCTTACTTATACAACCTTAATATCTTTAAGACTGCTATCTCATTAAAATCAGCCCATGCATTCAAAAGGGTGCAGGCTAGTTGATAGTGTGATTGTGGAGCCTTTGGTTTCTTTAGGATACCAGGTTATGGATTACAGATGATATTTGGCTGTAGGATTACATTTCTGACCCATGGTACTGATTGCTCTGGTGGTTTGTATTTAGGAATCTAATGAACTTTGGTGAAGTTTTCTTTTGAGTCCCACTTCCCTGGTCTTCTGTGCAAAAGAAGCAGGGCTGATGCACACAGCTGGGGTCTGGGTGCTGGAGGGGTGGGCTTTCCCCTGATGGAGACAGGTATGGGGTTGGGCTTCTAGTTTGGATTTGGGTCATGCTCTGGCTGTCTGCAACCAGGAAGAAGAGGAAATCCCATATGAATGTCTTAGAGGCTTTGCAGACACAATAAGACCAAATAGCTTAGACTCGGATTTTCTTGTTGTTGTTTAAAATTGATCTGTGGTGTTTGCTACTAATCTAAACAGAAGTTCAGCTTTGGATCCTTCCTGTCTTTCATCATTGCTAATAATAATCAGCTAATTACATTTTGTTAATGCCATGATTTCTCAAGGCAGATTTAAACATTGCTGGTCAATGTGAAGCTCCTCTTTATGTCTTGTTATATTGTGTTTTTCACATCTTTGTTCTCATACTTCTGACAGATCAAAATGAAAGCTTGTGATACCTGAGCACTATCCACAGGAGATCATACACTCACAGAGATTAGTTTTTACTGTCACATTTGTCTCCCTGGTGTGCGTATAATCCAAAAGTGATACAGAAATCAAATTACACCAGTGAAGTTGGCATTGACAGAATGTGCTTTTGATTAAGACTATGTAAATGTGTTTGAATCTATCTCGAAAAGGTCTGTAGTCAACAGAGTTCCCTCAGAACAAAACTGGTTTCAGAGGAGAGCCAGGGCCACTTTTGCCAAAAGTTAAATTAGGTAAGTGGGATTAGGGATTAGCTACAGGAATAACCTTTGCATTCTAAACACAACAATAAATTTAGCATCAACAGCAATGGCAGAAACTTCATAAAGTGCAGTTTTCTCCCACAGGTTTTTCTGTGATTGCTGCATGAGCCTTTTGAACTTCCACACCCACGGACCAAGCAGTCACACTTGATTTTTGGCATTCTCTTTAGAGTTGGCACTGTGGGAAATCAACTTTTCTGTTTATAAAGCCACAAGCAGGGCGCTAGTTTGCCGGCTATTGCTAATGGCACAACTGCTGAGCTCAACCACCTCTTCAAAGGAGTCTGTTCTCTAAAAGCCAGTTTCACCCATCTCTGAAAGTGTGGGTGTGGTGGCATTAGATTTGAGCTGACCCATCCCAAAGAGAAGTCCTGTTTTCAACTTCGTTCAAAACCCTCACTTGTTGCTGGTCACTTTTTTATCTGAAGTTCTATACCAGCAGGCTGGTCACTAGCTCAGCTTTCTGGCTACAAGTGATATAATCAGAAGTACAGAAGCGATACTAGAAATGCTACTTACCAACTGCTGCTAGACTAGAATTAAAAGCAATAAAAACACCGAGAGAGGTAAAACATAGATTTAAAATATAATGCTTCTATTTCTGGCTGACCCACTGCATATTCTTCAGAAAATAAATTAATTTCTCTCTCTTACTGTCTCTTTGTGTTTAAATAGTAATGGCATGTGTTTATTCCCACTAGCAAAGTTGTAGAGACCTGTAGCTGAATGTGAGACAGTTTTAATTGCTGCTATTCTGGTAAAAGGCACAGGAAATAGACTATCTTCTACAAATCTACCAATCTTCTCACTTCTTTACATTTTATTTTGGGCTGAATAATGTTTAAATTGTAATGTGTAAGTGAAGAGGTTGAGTATTAGGTTTTCTTCTCATATCCACAGATAACACTAAAAAGTGACCTAACTTCAAATGTCTTATGGATGAACTTGCAAGAAAAGCAAAAAAGGGATCATGGCACAAGAAAAATAATAGAATTGAAATCAGTAGTCTCTCACCTCTTATTTCAGTAGCTGCTGTGCCATTTGACCATGCTGTCCACTTATTCCTGTGTTTGCCAATTTCCTGGACTTTGCATATATAATGTCCTTGATCTGTTTGCTGGAGACTTAGAATAAGAAATTTGTACATAGTTCCATGTTTCTCCTTAAGAAGATGAAGTCTTTGCTTGTGGAAATGATGAGTATAATTTCCATAATACTGGACAGACCCAAACTTTGTCATTTTGATCATCAGATACTCCTGGGTAGGCGATGCAGCAAAGACCCACCGCACAGCCAGCAAATTGTCTGTCTTTCTCTTTTGAGAAATGTGGCAGTAAAGGGTAGCATTATCTCCCTCGGAGTATCGCACTGTTGGTCCCGGGGAGACTGTCACATTTAAAGCCTCACAAACATCTGCAAAGAAAAGAAAAGATGGTGAGAATCCTCCATATCGGCACAACAGCACCATAATCTGTGCCAGTGTGGAAGTCCACCACAGGTGAACTGATGGCATCCATTCAGTATGCAGCAATTTAATGAGCTTTTATAACCTCACATCTACTGTGTCTCTGTGAATGTTAAAGATGGGATGAGGCCCTCCTTCCGTGAGTCTGCTCTAGTATTCTTGCTGTCACTAATTAATAAGATAGGGCTGAATTGGACACCTTGCTGCTGTCATAGGCCCAACATCCCATAATCTCAGGTCAGTCTGAACAAGTGTTAATCTAAAACTAGCTTGGAGCAAGAGCCAAGAATGTCTTTTGGAAAGCTGTTCCATGACCAGCTTTTCTGACAACTTGCATCCTTCTTAGGACAGCCAGGCTAAATTGTTGCAATAGCCAGTTTATGCCCATTTGTTCCTGTGGTAACTTTAAGTTTAAATGGTGTTTTCTTTTCTAGCACTTGCTTCCTGACTCCATATAGAAAGCAATTCCCTGGTGTCTCAGCCTTCACTTTGTTGAGCTAAAGAAGTCAAGCTCTGTTAGTCTCCTTTAGTAAAGTAGTGTCTCCACTTCCCTGTTCGCCTTAGTACCTCTGCTCTGCATTGGTTCCAATTTAAATATTGTGTTTGATTGTAATTTTTTTTTTTTTTAATGTGGATGACTGGAATTATAGACAGTGTCTGGAAAGAAGCTCTCCAGTGTCCTGTGAAATAGTCATGGTACTTCCCAGATTTTACTGGGATATACCTTGCCTGGTATATCCCAGAATCGTGTTGTCCTTTTTCATGATGTTTTCACATGTGATTGTATGTCAGTTGGTAATTAATGTACTTTGGCGTTCTCCCTCCTTTGTCATTTGTGGTTCGGTTCCTAGTGTATCAAAGAAATTCTTACCAATACCCAAGTACGTGACTTTGCTTTACTAAGTTCTGCTCTGCTTTTGTTAATTGGTCCTGAGTTTTTCCTACGTGCTATCCCAATCTTATGCTAACTTGATAAGGTCACATAATTTCAACGTGCATGCTTGTCTACTTCTTTTAGAAATCATTTGTGCAAACCTTACATGATACTCTTCCCTAGATGATCACTGAAAGTCTACTAACTTCCCCGTATGCCCATAACCAGCTCCTCACTTTACAGTTCCCCGTGGCCTCTGTTTTAAGTAATATTCTCCTTGTCATAATAAAATCTCAAGTCTACATTAAATCTGTCATATTAGTCCTTCTGACTACAAATTCAATTTAATCTGACATTATTTGCATGACAAAATACAACATGAGATTATATTGGGACAAGTTATTATTCCATTGTTCCATTCATTTCTGACTCTTGTTTTTCTGTTCTTCAGCGTGAACCTAACTTAGACCAGTTGTTTGTCTCTCTGTTTTATTTCTAACCATGGCCAGTACAGGTGAAGGTTGAAAGAAGTCCATAGCTGTTCATTAGAGAAGATTTTTCTTTCCTGACCTAACTGATGTATGCTGGACTGATTTTCTGAGGCATGGGAATCAACACTCATTTTATTTCTTTCCTAATGTTCATTAAAAATGTTCTTCTTAGTCCTATCAGAGACTGATCTATTTTTGACCAATGGTATATTGTGGCAATGTGTTCCCTAAATGACTTGTACTGTGTAATCTACCGGTCTGATGGCATCCACTAGAGAGAGAACCATATTTCAACAGTGAGCAAGCACTCCCTGAAATGCACTCTACAAAGCATGAAATGTCCTCTAAAATGTGAATATTAAGCTTCCTGTTATGTGAATATACTGTACTCAAATACTAATGAGAATTGCAACTCTGGGAGAATGATTTTTTCATTTCTGGACACTTTTCTAGCACATCAGCTAGGAACATTTTAACAAAAGGGATGAGCGTTTTGGCAGAGACTCTTGTCTGACATCAGCTCCTGAAACACAAACATACATTTATCTTCAAAATGAGCAAGTCAAGTATTTCCATTCTATTTCTGAAGGAGTATTGGAGGCAGACACACTGGGTTTATGGCCCCAGTGAAGCCGTGAAATGGAGTGGTGAATTATATCACCTTACTTAAAGTAAATCCACAAAATTAAAGAACTTACATTGCAGCTGTTTGAGAAGAACCCTCTGAAAATTAATAGTGTAATAATTATTTGGGTTCATTTCAATAGAAAGCTGTACTGAACGGTGTATTTTTCCAAGTAGACATTATTTTTTCTTTATGGAGAAAATAAGTTGTATAAAGAAAGGTTTGGGTATTTTTAATTTCTTTAAGAAACTACAGCTAAGCTTGGCTTAGATTATTGATATAATTATCTGTGCGTGATGTTTGTGTGTGCAATTCATGTAAGTGCCAAAGCAAGAGATTATTTTGGATTGTAGAAAGCACACAAGTAGAACAGGATGTTGAAATTTAAAATGAAGGCTGAATACCACCAAAAGCTTTCCAGGCATGAAACTTCAGTTATTGCTTGTTGGAGTTACCTGACCTTGGTGCTTTGCAGACAGATGTGAAGATAAGATGGCTGCCTCTGCCATCAAAATAAGATTAGATTTTGAAGGTTGTGCTGCTCAGTAAATAAGGAATAAGTTTAAGAATTTCAAAGCTTTTGGGGGTTCTCATAATTACTTAGGCTATAAATATTTAATAAATAATTTATTAAAATGTGGTTTGGGTAAATGCAAAACACAAACTTTTTGTACTGAAATTACAAACATGTCGTGAAAACTGTAAAGAAAAACAATTATGTCATTTTCCTGACATGTGAACTTCTTGTTTGAAAAAGCTGGCTAGGCTTAATTGTGGAATAGAGTCCCAAAATAAAAGGCAAAAGAATCATTGCTTAATTCGAAACTAGGCAGAACATAGTGCCAAAAAGTACCCAAGAGAAAATACAGAGGAACTCAGATATGGTGATGATGGAAACCTCTGCAAGAAGATAAAGCAGCATTGTACGTGGAGTCTCTGATCCCTTTCTAGCTGTTTACACTCATACAAACATTGATATTTTATACCTAAGGCTTCTACTTTTCCTCTGGGGACATGCTTTTTTATAAGGAAATATCAAATTTTGCATCCTTCATGTTGTCTGATCAGTGGGAACCCATCTCCTTATCTTTCTTCTGTGGCTCCTATTGGTGCAGCTGTACAAGTGCAGCAACGGGGTGAGTTTTGGAAATTTCCTGATGCTTTTACCACGATCTCATGTCATGTTATATTGAACAGGGTCAAGTGATGCTTTATATGAAACAGAAAAACAGTGTTCATTTGACTCTATCTTCCCACTGCCATTGCAGCAGGAGCAGTGGTGGATTTTGGAGGAAAGAGGTCATTTACCTCTTATGTGGAAAGGAAATGCCTAATTCAGGGCTCCCAGACACTGGAAGAAATATTCCTCCTGTCTTTAGCAAGCGCTGGATCAGCCCCAACATGAGGTTTACCCTTGTAATGGGCTCCTTGCCAAGACAGGAGACTCCTCCACAACTTGAGAGAAGGCTTGTGTGCCAACAGAGCACTGAATTTCTAGATTCCAAATTGCCGCTTGAAGTGAGGAATCACTGTTTTTCTTCTCCTGCCTTCCCAGTATAGCATGATGGAGCCACTCAGGTGGAGCTCACCACAAGAGTTTTAGTCTTGCTTCTGCTTGGAAAGGGAAACTATTTATAGAAAAGGGGAGGAGAGTGAGTCAAAGACTTGAGGATTCCTTTGCAGCGTGCTTAATCATCAAACACGTCTCTCCTATTTACAACCAGCTCACTTAGTTGCCCCCATCCTGGTGTTTTAGCGGTTTCTTTCTTTGGGACCCTCCGTCTGCACATCCCACTAGCCTGTTGGCAGTCAGGGAAGGTTACTGCTCACTAAACTCTGTTTTGAAAAACTCTATTTTGAAGATAGTGGATTTCTGCTTACACCAGTTCAATTCCAAGTATTAGCTAGGTTTGGACTTTGCTATGTAATATGGCAGACAACAAAACACTTTCACGGCACTGTCAGAAGTAACAAATTATACTTTCAGCAGCCAGAAACCTGTCTATGCCAGGGCTGTCCCCTCTCTCTGTGCTGGAACAGTAGCAGAGGACCCACAGTCACTGCTGGGTCCTTATGTTTGGTGAGCAGTTTCAGCGCGGCTGTGTTTTTGTGGGAGAAGCCTAGCTACTTCGGTGGAGATACTCACGGGTATAGTTACTCCTGTGCACTACTGCTCACAATCTAAGCTGAGTGTTATATATAGTCCCCTCTTCCTTCCTCCATGGAGACTGACAGGCAGAATCTACAACCCACCCTTCGGGCCTGAGAGGACTTTTTCCCTCAGCCCCTGCTGATAGCCAAGGGATGAGAGAGCCATGCCACCAGGGCTGTTACCTTCTCATCTTGGATTTGCATGACCAGAAGCATATGGGATGGCTTTTACCCCTGTTGTAGTTTGTTCTGTTACTGTCAAAGCCTGCTTTATTTTGACTTCTCTACAATTAAAAAGTAAGGAGAGAAGATAGGCCAGGAAGAAGCAAAACTCTTTGTTTAAATGAAAATAATTAGGAGCTGGCTAGCAAGATCACCAAAAGCAACCAGCTGTTTTCAGTTGGACGGATCTGTCCGCAAGTTTCACAAGTCAGAGGCTCCTCTGAGAAAGCTTCTGCAGTGACTAAAGATGGACTTGAACCAAACCTCTGTCTCCACCACCTCCTGCCCTTTTGAGGTGAAGATCCAAATCCAGCTCTTTCAATAACCTGGAATGAGCAGGGCTTTCTCACTCCCTAACTCTCACTGCGCCTTGAAGTTCAGATCCGGACTCTGTGTCCGTTTTGCACCTTTAGGACACAACGCGGGCCAGTGCACCTTTGATTTTGGAGACAGAAAGGTCTTGAGTGGAGGATGTCTTTTACAAGTGATCTATGCACTGGATGCCTACAGGATCTACGCCCCCGTGGGAAAAGCAGTGCCAAACCTCTCTTCGCCTCAACTTTGCCTGCGGTTCCTCGGTGCAGCTAAACATTGTCCCGCCTGGCACGGAAGGTGGCAGAGGACGCCTTCCCATAAACTTTGGCATGGGAAGGGTATTTTGGTGACAGCACACTTGCGGGTCAGGTCGCTGTGCAGAACCGCTGCTGCGGGACCCCGGGAAGGCGGCGGCAGAGCGGGGTGAGGGACCAGCCCGCGCCGGGGGGCGGCGGGGAGAGCCCGACCGCCTCGGAGAGGGGGGAGCAGGGGCGGTGGGAGCGGTGCTGCCGGGCTTCCCCGGGCGGCGACACCCCCCAAAACCTCTCACTGAGCGCCCCCCCT